AGGGAGTAGGTGAGCGACTGGCACGACGTCCGGGTGCTGCTGGGTGTACAACGAAATAGCTGAGTGCTGCTACTCCTTCCGCGGCAGAGGGCCGGGTCAAAAAGACAACCGACTACATCGAATACAGCGAGCGAGCCAGGCGGTGCACCGTCCTCAAAAGACCGGCGCCCACGTCGAACGCGGCAAGCTAAGCGAGTGGCGCACCACATCCAAGCAACCGGTGCCCACGTTACTTATACGGCAAGAGAACTTTTCACTTAAAGACAATTGATTCGTTAGCTCGCGACGTCTATTGAAATGTTTGTTTGTCCACGTGTGCTATGAAATGTTAATAGAACTGTGAACGCGTTTTTGTGCACTGGTGTACTGCGAAGTTTTTTTCTGGAGCGTTTTGGCCTCTTTATTAACATCACAAACTGGCGCCTGCCAGGATCCGCTCGTTAAACCAGCGAAAGAAGACAGTTAAGCTCGAGTGCAGACACGCACGTCCGGACTGCACCATGGAGTCAGATAAAACTCACGGCTGTAGGGCTCCAACTAGGCTTGGGAAATGCAGAGCTTCACAAGTGGATTGATGCCCAGCAAGCTAAGCTAAGAGATGAGAGAGCTGCGGAACGAGAGGCTGCCAAAGAAGCTGACGAGAGGCAGCGCGAAATTCTTGAGCTTAGGCTAAAGCTTCAGGAAGGAGCCAAGAATGCGCTAATAGCAGCGACTGAGGATTTGCCTACGCCTAGCACCTACTCATTTGTGAATCCGCAGAAGTGGCTGCCTTTGTTCGACGAGAAACGCAACGATTTGCATGCGTATGTTCAGCGTTTCGAGCGCGTCGTGACCGGACAGAATTTGCCGGAAGAAAAATGGGGTCTCGCTGTAGGCATGTGCCTAGCGGTAGACGTGATCAGCCGGATAACTGCCGCCGATTCACTGGATTACTAGAAGGTAAAGAAAACACTACTATATCAATTTCAGTTATAGGGAGAAGTTTAACAAAGCCCGAGCAGCAGACGGTGAAACAGGAAGACAGCAGCAAAAAATTTTCAGCTAATTTGACCATTGGATCGACATGGTAAATGTATCGAAAACCTTAGAAGGTCTCAGAGATCACGTGATTGCGGAGCAATTCTAGCGCTGTTGCCATTCAAGGCTGGTAGTTTTCTTAAAAAAGCGAGAATTTAGATCATTAGATGAACTCGCTAACCTGACCGACATATTCCTTGAGGCACAGAATTCGCCCACTATAGGAAAAGGTCCTGAAACCACGAAGGATTCCAGAGGAAAGCTCACCGAAGCGCCGCGTTAATCAGCTCTAAATTGCATACTTTTTCATCATTTTGGATATTTGTCTCCTTACTGCCACAATCCGCCTAAGCAGATGCTCAAGTGCAAGTCGTGTGGCGAAACAGTACACGTAGCAGAAAATTGCCGAAGCAAGTCTCGAGACGACAACTCGAGTTCTTCCTGCACTTTTACCAAATCCAAACCTTCCCAGGCTCGTACTAAAACGCGTCTAGACATCCAGGAAGGAAGATTCTTTGTTTCAGGCACCATGGCAACAACACCATGCAGGATGCAGCACGCTTCCTGGTCGACGGGATGCCAGTGGTTCGAGGTGTACTGCTAGGAAGAGGTTCGAGTGCTCTTTGACACGGAATGCAACACGGCAATAGTCCGACGGGAACTCGTTCCTGACGTCTGCTTGACAGGCAAGACAATCAGCGTCATTCTGCTAGATGGGTCATCTAGCCGTCTCCCGGAAGCTGAGGTACACGTCAATACGCTTCACAGGGAAGCTGAGAGTGGCTTGTATGGACCAACCGCTCTATAACCTCGTCTTGGGAAACCTATCAGGCGTCCAAGAACCATGCGATCCAGATTCTGAGTGGAAGCAGGCGGCTCGTACCCAGGTGGATGAGCTACTGGTGGAAGCACCTACGACCAAGTGCCCTGTCAACTCAACATCGGTTTCTTCTAGCGTGGTGAAAGCCCAAGCTAAACAACACAATCAAGAGAAGAGCAGACCTTTGTACGTCTCAACAACATTCTTGCCCGACGTTACAAGAGCACAACTCGTCGAGAAGCATGAGAAAGGATCCGACCCTGAAAACCTACTTTTGCCAAAGTCGATAAAGAGTTCCAATTAGAAAAGGGCCACTGCTACGGGTTTATTGAAGATAAAGGATTGCTTTATCGTCGCTACTACCTTGCTACAGGCAGAACTTTTAAACAAGTGGTCACTCCGAAACCATTCCGATAAGGCATCCTGGACATTGTTCATGCAAGTATCATGGCGGGACATTAGGGCATCGAGAGGACTACTGATCACGTTCTCGAAGAATTTTATCGGCCTGGCCTGACCGGAGACGTCAAGCGCTTTGTCAAGTCTTGCGACAAATGCCAAAGAACTCCCCCGAAAGAGAAAATAGGAGTTGCACCGCTATAGGCAACATGCCTCTTATCGGGACACTTTTTGAAAGGGTTGCAGTTGACTTAATCGGCCCCTTTTCCTCAAGATTTGACCATGGGAATCAATATGACCTAATATTAGTCGATTTTGCTACTCGGTATCCTGACGCTGTAGCGCGTACTGCACGCAACCGATGCAGTTCACTTGCGGAAGCACTGATTAAGATTTTTTCTCGTATCGGCTTGCCAAAGGAAATGGTCACCGACCAAGGGGCAAGTTTTACCTCACAATGGATAAAAGAGGTTAGTCGGCTTCTCTCTGTGAAGTTGCTGAAGACGACGCCTTATCACGCGATGGCGAATGGTCTCGTAGAGAAGTTTATTGGCACCATCAAGACAATGTGGAAGAGAATATGTGCCAAGAGAGGCCTCGCTCTTGGAATAGTACATCGCCTCACTGCTCTTCGCATATAGGGAAGTCTCACAGGCAAGCCTCTGTTTCTCTCTGTTCCAACTCATTTACGGCTGCCACGTCCGAAGACCATTTACCATTCTGAAAGAGCTGTGGACGAATGAGGTGCTTGGCTCTGAAACGTGGACGACGTACACCTAGCTCTTCAATCTGCGCAGTCGCCTGGAGGGGACTTGAAAAATAGCACACGAACAGCTGGAGAAGGCTCTGGCGAAACAAAAGATCTATTATGACAAGGAAAGTCGCCCAAGGAAGTTAGGCCCTAGCGAGAAAGTTTTAATTTTGCTGCCGACTGACTCCTACAAGCATTTAATGCAGTGGAAAGGGCCGTTCTCTGTTATTGTCCAAAACAATAACGTTGAATACATCATCTATGTTTTGAAAGGACAAGATCTTCCACATAAACATGCTGAAAAAACACGAAGAGCGCGAGGCGAGAAAACCGAAACAGGTATCAGTTGTTCCGGAGCCCTGCGGGAATTTCTCCGAAGATGATGCAGTAAAAGAGATGCCAATGTTGAGCTTCTATGGCACCGAGTTACGCTAGAATGTCAAGCTGTTCCCGCACCTCATTGCTGGTCAAATTCAGAAGGTGCAGACACTTTTCCAGGAGTATGCGGACATTCTTTTTGACCTACCAGGGAAAGAGTCATGAACAATTGGTACAAGAAATAAGACATTGCCATCATGAAGCTCTAGCACGAGGGCATGATATTATATATCAATGGCTTCCTGGACATATCGGTATTACCGGAAATCAATTAGCCGATGATGCAGCCCGCTCAGCCCATGAAGGAACCCGTGTAGTCCCGATTCCTCTATCAAGGAATGATGCAGCAGGACAACTTTACCTGCTGGCTCGAGATCTCACACGCACGTTCTGGTCGTCTACCAGCTTCCAAAGGTGTCAATTTTATGAACTGGATCCTTCGCTCAAGCTAAAGCTACCATCACAACTTTCCCGCTCCGATGCGACACTGTTATGCCGCCTTTGGTTGGGTGTTGCATTTACAAAGGTGTACTCTTTTCGCATTGGTATGGCAGACACTTATACATGCGACTACTGCGGAGCTGAAGAGACCATTGAACACGTCCTTTGCAGCTGCGCTTGCTACGACACACAGCGATGCCAGCTCCGGATGGTTTTGAATCAACTTGACCCCGGACCATTTTGTGTGCAGAAGATACTAGGACCTTAGGCATCTGCCTCAGTTGCGCAGAAAGCGACTAAAGCACTGCTACTTTACTTAAAGTCAGCAAACCTGAGTACCCGCCTGTAGACTGTGTGTGCTCCCCGAGTGTGCTCGTGATTGTGTGTACCTTCTCATCTCTCTGCAACCTCTTTTCTCCCCTTCATCCCTTACCCAGTGCAGGGTAGCAACCCAAACCGGATGTTCGTCTGGTTAACCTCCCTGCCTTTCCTTGCATCTTTATCTCTCTCTCTCTCTATCAGGGAAACCGGTGCTGGTGGAGTGTTCACTACGTCTGACCTCTGATAAGCTTGTTCATGCTCCGCAATACCCCTTGGAGAACTCTTTTTCCGATACGTTATATAAAGCGTTGCGACAACGTTGGAGCCGACCACTTGAGTCACGCTTAACTGCCGTTCGGCTGGCCAGTGCGGCTTTGTAAAATCACTAGCCCACAGTTTGAACTAGTTCATTGTACTCCCTTGTATTGTGTACAATGTTAGAGGTCTGTTATTGTGTACACGAGAACACTAAGAAAACAACGCAGTGTGTAGTGACCCCACACTCTAGAGACTCGTGTCTCCCCCAACGAAATTCTGCTAGAATAGTTGTTTGTAAACAACTTTATCGAAAAAGAAGTGATGGGATAATATGTGGTGCACGGGAGGGAAACTAAAACTGAAAGTGTCGTGTGGTGGCACAGTGCGTTTCTGACTGCGCGTATGTGCCGTGCGGCGTGAACGAAGAAGACAGTGAGAGCTTGTGAGGCGTGGCCTCGCGGGTTCGTGACGAAGATTTCGGTAGTGAAGGTGCAGTGTTCGAGGCAGGACTACATCGCTGGGCGTCTGGCCTATAGGTTCCACCCCGGCCACGTCGCTAGGTGACAGGCCAAGGACGGCCGAAGCTGGCGTTCGACCCGCTCTACCACTGGACAACTAGTCCAGGAGAGCTGGCGCCGGGTTCCTGAGCCTGCCTGTCCTGTTCCTGAGCCAGGGTTCCCCAAACCGGGCCTTGCCCCGCTGGTCCACGAGGGCTAGCGTGGATCTTCGTGCCGCACTGCTGGTGCCCAAGGGCACGACTACCTGCCTCCGCAGCACGTCTGTCATCGACTCCGGTTAGACGACCGTGGAGTTGAGCCAAACGAGTTGTCACAGCACGCGCCGGCGCCGCGTCAACACAACTTCACCACCGCAAGGTTCCGACGAGACTATAACGACGGTCCAGGCAACGACGTCGCCAAGCTGAACTGCAGGCCAAACGTTCTCTTTATTTCCATAGCTTATCCGCATGCATGTTATCCCTAGAGTGTATTTATGTATAGGTGCGAAGTGTGTGAAATATATCTGTGACGTCTGTTTGTGCACTGGCGTCCTGTCGACTTCTTTCTGGAGAACTCCTGCCCCAATATAACATCCCACAGTGTTCTTTCTCCAAGCGGTGTGCAATAACGTAACACCACCAACTGAACCAAGCAAGTATCTTTATAAGGTATGTAAGAAATAGCCAAAGTGGGTCAGGGAACAAACCGAGGTTAAGTATATCATAGCTGAAATCAAGAAGAAGAAATGGACATGGACTGGGCACGTAAACAGGATAACCGCTGGTCATTAGGGTAACTGACTGGATTCACAGAGAAGGCAAACGCACGAAGGTGAGATAATGCTAGGTTGGCCGATGAGATTAAAGAAGTTTGCAGGTATAACGTGGCAACGGAAAGCACAAGACCGGGTTTATTGGCGAATCATGGGAGAGGTCTTTGCCCTGCAGTGGGCGTAGTGAGGCTGATGATTATGATGATGAAGGAATGGTATTGTAAGCTCACCCTCCTGGGTGTCTCCGGGCAGGCACACTTCGGCGATGGTCTCCTTGGCGCCGGCCACCACCTGGTTGAAGAGGCGCTGAAGTGTCGCGTCGAAACACTGCGCAGTGTGCTCGTCCACGCAGTCAACCACACGTTTCAGCTTCCTGCGTCACAAAATGCGTGTTAGATATTACGCCTAGTCATTCGAGTTGGATGAGACAAAAACTTGAAGCGCACCAGCTCGTCGGGTGCTCTTCAAGAAAACAGGAATCGATGAAGGGGAAAAAATTGAATTTCAGAATACATCATATCTCACTCACTCACTCACTCACTCACTCACTCACTCACTCACTCAATAAAAAAATAAAAAAAATAAATTCTCGGAGCTCCACACTACAGTGCACCTCTCGTACCACAGTTCTGACGTGCAAGACCAAAGATGCTATTATTAAATTTTCATCTGCTCTAGTCCGGATGCCGGAATGTAGGAGATAGAACCAGCCTTGTTTGATAGAGAACTTCACTGTCATTCGGTCGGTGACGACGTCCAGGTTAGGCATAGGTGTAGAGGTACTATACAAAGCATACATACGGGAACGCGACTCGACTGATCGCCGCAACGGGGCGCTGCTCTGTTCTCGAATTAGCGAGGTGTCCACTGAACGGGGCCGTGTTGACACTTCCTGAGTACTACGACGACGCTTCTCGAAACGCCACGATGGCGGGACCACCGCAGGTATGTGCGCTTCCGGTATGGAAAGAGACAGTACTAGCTTATTGACTTGCTAATGCCCTGCACCTTCCCGTAACGCACATGAGCTAATGATGACAGGAGAACCCAGTATGCGCGTAAGTCTGACTGACAAGGGAAAGGCTACTTTGCACCGCTAACATTAACTAGATTTTTTTTAAATAAATAGCCTGTACCGCTCCTTGCGATAAACATTTTGTACGGGAGTTGAGAATTTATTTGATGTGATACTCAAAAGACGTGTTTCGATATCGTATAAACGATGATTTCATTATGTTGCTGTTGCTACGTTTTATATAGGGTGAAAGCCGTCGTCAAGCCTTAAGAGAATCACGGTTGTGACTATTCGTTCTGATTCGACAAGCACGAGCTGGCGTGGCCCTCTCCGCCCGCCACTCTATTTCATCCCTGCCCCACCAACGATATGACACGTACGGCGATGATGCAGGAGACTGAGGCACTCGTTCGCCACACACCCAGACACAACAAGCGCAGCAGCTATCGGAGAGTAGCCGTGCCGTGCCATCTCGAATATCTTCATTCAACCGCAGTTTTTATGTACTCCTATGAGAGAGAGAGGGAGCGAGAGTAGGAGAGGTGATTGGGGGATGGGCGCGCCACACACCGGATCTTTTTTTTAGAAGCTTCGCATCTAAAAAAAGAGGAGAAAAAAAATTGAGCAGACTCTGTCCTACCGGAGGAAAACGCGCAGCCCAAAGCGGAAAAGCGAATCTCCAAGTATGAAAGTGCTGAGAATTCGCTCACCTATCGGCTATATAGAAGCCGGCGGACCCAACGAAGCTACTTATGCAGCGCCTAGACGACGCCCAGCGCAACCCGTGGTCACGCGATCAGTCGAATCTGGTGGCCACATGCACACACGAAAATGCATACCACAAATCTGCACCGTCAGTAGGGATGCAGGAATTGCTGCCCAGAAACAACCATCGTCTGTAATGCCGTCTCTTCTTCATTTTGTCGTCTTTCTTTTGCCCTTACCAAAGCCTCAGAGTCGCAGGTTCATCTTCGTGGTCGTCATCTACCGGAACAGCGCACCCCATCACCCAACCACGCACCATGACACGCTTGGCACGATTTGGCAGTTTAGGCTAGCAGAGATCAATGCTCGCCAGCCGAGGCACCACACCGATCCGGTTATTGGCGGTATCTATACGCATACACACCCGATACACCGACCACCCCGCAGTTCCTTTTCGCGGCCTGGCGCTGACCTCGCCTTTGGGGTTTGCATACGCTTCCGTCGCTGTCGTTCGCTGGCCATGTACGGCGAGAACGGTAGCGCGTCGTCAAGCTGCCCTATTGCATTACGTGTCACGCCATCGCCTCTTCTCTGCAGATGCCTTCAAGCTTACTAGAGGGATCCCTTAGCAGAGGCAACTCTCAAGTCGAGGAAAAGGGAAGATGGAGATAAAAGTTGAGCGGAATTAAAGATACCATTTGCTATCCTTCAGCGGGAAAGGAGGAGAAAGAAATTTTAGAAAGATAACAGAGAGAGGGCTCGGAAATTGGGGTAGATAGGCAGTGATAGTCCGATGACGGTGGAAACAGCGCTGGGGACATTGCCCTCTTCTTTTCCTCTCATATTCACATTCATTTCCCTTTTCCTACCTTTTTCTACAGTATACTGTACATGGATGGGTATGCTATGCTTTCTCTCCCTATTTCTTCCTTTCTGTTTGTTTCTATAGAACCGTCTGTTCTTTCTCTCTCTCACTCGGTTTCTCTTTCTATATTTCTCTCTTTTCCTTCTCATTAATATTCTCATTATGTAAATAATCTTGTGATTAAGCCTTTTAAAGGCGTAGCACTTCATAGAGTCCGGCTTGTTCTTCCCCAGATCTCATGTTGCGGGACCAAGCACACAGTCAAGCGGGTGGCGGTGGTGGTGGTGTGGGTGGAATTGCAGCAGGCGGGGTTAGCCTCGCCTGTATGGCCGGGAATTGTTCCGCCTGAGCATCTCCTGAATTTGGAAATTGTCACCACGTGTCAGAAAGCCCAGTGTCTCGCAGGAAGACCAACAAAATTCGTTGCACGTTCCTCCTAGTTGCCGCGTGTCCTTCAGGAAAGATGACGTCATCAACTGTCCGGTGCCTATGACAGCCTTTTCTCAAGGTGCGGATCATCGCTGCTCTTTGCACATCAAACTGTGGGCAAAGCCAAATGAAATGTTCAATATCCCCGATGTCACTACAGAAGGCACAGAACGGGGAAGCGTATCTCCCAGTCATGAATGACCAGTCAAGCGCTCAATAGAACCTTTTATTGTTTACAAATACTGACCCTTGGTGACATCCGATTTTGTTCAGTGATGTGCCTGAATATCATCGGTGAGCAAGAAAAGCGTTAGAAAATAGCCAGCTGATTTTCTACACTTCTCTTTCCTCATTTGGCAAAATATTGCCGCGAGGCGTATTGCGGATAGTGTTGCGCATCCGATACCACCGGCACGCGGCCTTATCGTGGTCCAGGATGCACCGCGACTCATCTGCGAAGATCATGGCCCGCACGTCGACCATTCGTTGATAACGAGATAGCACCAGACGCTACGGCGACTGTATCTCGGATGGTGAACGCGCCTTGCGTTCCAGTGGGACATTTCTGTTACCTGACGGCCGTCGAACGCGCCTTGCGTTCCAGTGGGACATTTCTGTTACCCGACGGCCGTCGAACGCGCCTTGCGTTCCAGTGGGACATTTTCTGTTACCCGACGGCCGTCGAACGCGCTGTTCGCCTCCCGCTAAGCCGGTGTGTCTGTTTTCCTTTAGTGGGCGCAAGTCCACCAAATAAACGGATCTCCTGCTATTTCTACTAACCTCCCGGTCTCCTGTCTTCGGGCTACCCTCACTCTTACGTGACATCTGGTGGAGGTGCGGGGTATGATCTTCGCAGATGAGTCGCGGTGCATCCTGGACCACGATAAGGCCGCGTGCCGGTGGTATCGGCATGCGCAGCACTATCCGCAATACGCCTCGCGGCATGAAGAACTACAGTTCCTTGGCCATGTTATAAGCAAAGATGGCGTAAGACCAGATCCCGAGAAGACAGCCGCTATCGCACAGTTTCCTCAGCCGCAAGATAAGAGAGCAGTGCGCCGATTCTTAGGACTGTGCGCCTATTACCGACGCTTCGTCAAGAACTTCTCACACATTGCTGCCCCTTTGACGCAGCTCACCAAGTCGGACGCCCCTTTCGAATGGAAAGCTGAGCAACGTGAGGCATTCAAAGAACTTCAACAACGTTTACAGTCACCGCCTGTGCTGGGTCATTTTGATGAAAATGCCGAAACTGAGATACATACAGACGCCAGCAGCATCGGCTTAGGTGCCGTTCTCGTTCAGAAGCACAAGGGCTGCGAGCGCGTCATCGCGTATGCAAGCCGCTCACTGTCGAAAGCGGAAGTGAACTATTCCACGTCTGAGAAGGAATGTCTTGCGATAGTATGGGCCACCTCGAAATTCCGCCCATACTTATATGGCAGACCCTTCAAGGTCGTAACGGACCATCATGCGTTGTGCTGGTTGGCCAGTTTGAAAGACCCTTCTGGCTGCCTCTCTCGATGGAGCCTACGGCTTCAGGAGTTTGACGTGAAGGTAGTCTACACATCTGGTCGTAAGTACTCCGACGCAGACTGCCTCTCAAGAGCCCCTGTCGGCGCACCACCAAGCCATGAAGACGACGATGCCTTTTTTGGGCCTATCAGCAGCAGCACTTTTGCATTACAGCAGCGCTCAGACCCGATCCTACAACAGTTGATCAACTACATCGAAGGAAAGGCCTCCATACCGTCTGCACTGTTCAAGCGTGGGATATCCTCCTTCTGTGTGCAAAACGGGGTGGTAGTTAAAAAGAACTTCGCACCGAATAAGGCAGCCTACCTTCTTGTCGTCCCAAGCAGCCTGAGAGAAGAAATTTTACAAGCGTTACATGACGAACCCACTGCAGGCCACCTCGGTTTTATACGCACACTCCACAGAATTCAAGAACGATACTACTGGCCCCGCCTCTCCTCAGATGTTGCGCGGTACGTCAAGAGTTGCCGCGAATGTCAACGCCGGAAGAGACCTCCAACAAAACCAGCTGGATTTCTCAAGCCAATTGAACCCCCGTCGAGACCATTCCAACAGATTGGTATGGACATGCTTGGACCTTTCCCCACGTCAACATCCGGTAACAAGTGGATCATAGTGGCCACTGTTTACCTTACCCGATACGCTGAAGCTAAGGCCCTCCCGAACGGCACAGCCGTAGAAGTTGCCAAATTTTTTGTCGAATCAATTCTCCTCCGTCATGGCGCACCTGAGGTACTAATAACAGACAGGGTAACGGCGTTTACGGCTGATCTTACTCAGGCAATCTTACATTACAGTCATACAGATCACCGAAGAGCAACTGCGTACCATACGCAGACAAATGGTCTCACGGAACGCTTGAACAAGACCATTGCCGATATGCTCGCTATGTACGTGGACACAGAACACAAGACCTGGGACTTAATTCTGCCTTACGCGGTCTTCGCCTATAACACCGCGGTGCAGGAGACCACTAAAATGACACCATTTAATCTCGTCCATGGGAGGGATGCCGTTACTACCCTGGACGATATGCTGCCTAATGTCACCGATGAAAACAACCTAGACGTGGCCGCCTACCTTCAGCGCGCAGAAGAAGCCCGGCAGCTTGCTCGTCTGCGCATAAAAGACAAACAGCGAAACGACGCAAGACGCTACAACCTGCGGAGACGCGATTTAACATACAGGCCAGGTGACAAAGTCTGGGTTTGGACGCCCGTTCGCCGCCGAGGATTAAGCGAAAAACTCATGCGCCGTTATTTCGGCCCATACAAAGTCATCCGTCAAGTGGGTGAAGTGGACTATGAAGTGGTCCCTGATGGGGCTAGCTCATCCCAACGACGCCGCGCACGACAAGAAGTGGCACACGTCGCCCGTTTGAAGCCCTATCATGCGCGCTAAAGGAGGCTCCCTGTTGGCATATCTTGTTTTGTTTATGTGTGCGTGATTCGTGCTTATTTGCCATTTACTTTCGCACAGGCTGTCCTTTTGTTTAGGTTTTATTTTAAACAAAGCATCGGGTCGATGCTTACGTTGAGGAGGGGAGCAATGCCGCGAGGCGTATTGCGGATAATGTTGTGCATGCCGATACCACCGGCACGCGGCCTTATCGTGGTCCAGGATGCACCGCGACTCATCTGCGAAGATCATGGCCCTCACGTCGATCATTCGTTGATAACGAGATAGCGCCAGACGTTACGGCGACTGTATCTCGGATGGTGAACGCGCCTTGCGTTCCATTGGGACATTTCTGTTACCCGACGGCCGTCGAACGCGCCTTGCGTTCCAGTGGGACATTTCTGTTACCCGACGGCCGTCGAACGCGCCTTGCGTTCCAGTGGGACATTTTCTGTTACCCGACGGCCGTCGAACGCGCTGTTCGCCTCCCGCTAAGCCGGTGTGTCTGTTTTCCTTTAGTGGGCGCAAGTCCGCCAAATAAATGGATCTCCTGCTATTTCTACTAACCTCCCGGTCTCCTGTCTTCGGGCTACCCTCACTCCTACGTGACAATATATTCAAATAAATGTTCTTTTGAGGTGCAAAAAACTACAAAATATTGCCTTAAATATTACGCACATTATTTTTATCTGAAAAAATAATAAGTGACTTTGCTTACCCTTGAAAAAAACGTGAAAACGCCCATTCAGTTTCGACGTTATGAGCTGGTAAATTAGGCGACCGAAAGTTCTTTTGGGGCACAACGCTTGTAATCTCGAAACCGCTCAATATAGGCGTAACACAGGGCTAGCAATGTTTAAAACAAATTTAGGAAGAGGAAGAAGCTCTGAAGCGTCATAAACAAGAGAAATAGCAAAGACGTAATAGCAATAAGTAACTTGAAATGGTTAAAGCGATTTTGGAAACAAGCCTCTGACTGCGACACCAGGCTAGAGAAGGCACCACGCCGTTGCAAAGCCGATGATTGCTCATCCCGCCTGAACTTCTGAGCTGCACCCGAAGGGTGAAGCTTAGTGGAACTCTCCGCAAACGACAGGTAGACCTCAACAGCCGTAAAAACCAGGAATTCGATAAAGAGCAGTGAAAAGTAGCGTACATGTCGCACACCCAGGTTGCGAATCTCTTCAAGGGGATCCGACTCGTGCTGCGACAAGCCTACATGCTTACCCCAAACAATGGCGTCATCGACGGTTTGGTAAACGCGTCTGTCTGAACTGTACGAACAGGAATCACTGGGTGCTCTATATATGCCCTGTCTGAGGTTTCACGTCAGTGGCGCTAGATTTAACGTTGAATTTTGAAGAAAACTCATCGCTATACGACGTGCGCGCGGGAGGGGGTGATGTTATCGATTTGAGCTTTATACGAAACATGATGGCGACGGCAGGAATACGTATTGAGTGTACATCTGATATCTATTGAAAATAAAAAAAAAAATCCGCTTGAACGTGGGAGAAGGAATGAATGTAAAAAAAAAATACACGCAGTGCTTGTCCTTTACTCACTGCGTGGATTGTCACGCTTGCCAGCTGCGTAGGCACTGGCGCCTGAGTTACCATTATAGGGGGCTTACACCGAAAATCTTTGAATACCTGACGAATTTAATGTACCCAAGTGCAGTAACCTTGCATGTAAATCGTCCTAATTATTGACAACCTTCAATTTTTCTCTTTTTAACACGAAAGTACTTTATTTTGAGCTCCACAAAGATAACATGAGCCTCTACAGGAAAGTCACCTACCTCAAAGTATGCAGGTGGTGTTTGACGTCATGTGAATGAGCGTATGCAGCTAGGCGGGGCACCCGTGCTAACTTTCTCGGCGTGAGCTGGCGACGACTGTGGTTGTATCTTGCCTATAAGCTTAGGTTGCAATCGACCTTAGTTAACCGCACTGCTTTTTTCCGTCTCTCCCCCCTGCTTTGCATCGTCACCGCAGGACTATACTCACATGCCTACGCTATCATGCGACAATATGGTTAGACTCGCCATGTAAGGAACCTTAAACACACCTGCAGACGTGGTGCAGCTCCCTCTTGCTGGTGACAAGAGTGATGTCCTCTCCTTTGGCCACACTCTCGAGGGACTCCAGACAGCGCTGGTACTGGTCGTTGGTGCAGCGCTCGACAGGGGATACTGCGATATGGCAAGATGCAGATCAGAGGCTATCTATCTATCTATCTATCTATCTAATCTATCTATCTATCTATCTATCTATCTATCTATCTATCTATCTATCTATCTATCTATCTATCTATCTATCTATCTATCTATCTATCTATCTATCTATCTATCTATCTATCTATCTATCTATCTATCTATCTATCTATCTATCTATCTATCTATCTATCTATCTATCTATCTATCTATCTATCTATCTATCTATCTATCTATCTATCTATCTATCTATCTATCTATCTATCTATCTATCTATCTATCTATCTATCTATCTATCTATCTATCTATCTATCTGTCTGTCTGTCTGTCTGTCTGTCTGTCTGTCTGTCTGTCTGTCTGTCTGTCTGTCTGTCTGTCTGTCTGTCTGCAGTGAATAGTTTGTTGTAAATTGCACAGAAAAAAATGAACCGGCACCCTATCGTCAAAAGCTCCTTCGTAGTCCGCTGTTGAAGCGAATAGTCCCTGATATATATATATATATATATATATATATATATATATATATATATATATATATATATATAATCCACGGTTAAGAGAGTATCTATATATATAGGGATGAGGGCATATTGTGACGAATAACGTATAGCACTATATGAGTGTTGTCGAATGCTCTCGATAAGATATCACGTTGGACCCTCTGAAAGTGCAAGAATTCATTTAAGCCACGAGGGGGGGATACTTTGAAGCAAGTTCCGCTTCGACTGAGCGGGAACGGTTTCAACGATACTACAGATGAAAGGTACACCTCGCAAGCTTTATGTTTCAACGTCCACGCCGTCTCTCCAACACCACCCATCTCCGCGCGTTAAAATACTTGCAGCGCGCGATAGCATCCCCTGCACTTAGGCAGTTAGCTGAATAAGCTCGCACTGCGCTGAACACATATGATGCGGTTCAGGTGGAAGCCACTTTAATTAAAGCGGGCACAATGTATCTGAAAACGTGGGTTTTGCTGAAGAAACCATGCCCGCGAACAATGGGTTGGCACGTGCACAGTATAGCTCGAGCTTGTTGACGCCAAGTGGACTCGAGCGGTGAATCAATCAACGTCTCTCTCGGTGGTTTTGTATCGGTAGCCAGGGTTTGAAGGCATTTAAAAATCCCGAACTTGAACAGTATAAACTCACCAACCGGGACGGTGTTTGCAGTGTTAGATCCCGAAAAGTTTGACCACTTACAAAGACTACGGCCTTTTGTGGGATTCTCTGTGCGGATGAGCCATTTCGGGAATTCGGCATAGGTGGTCTGCACAGTTAGAACTTCCCGAAGATCTATATGCGAGGACAGGAACAAACAAATGTGACGTGGAGAAGAAGGAAAGCGGGTGGAGGTGATGTTGCGATCGAAATGACCAAACCGCGGGAACCCGATGGTCGTCACGGCACACAGCACAGCGCAGCTGACTCTGCTCTCCTCTCGCGTTGTTGGCGTTGCGCATGATTGCGCGAGACAGGGTGGACCACGCGTGGAGCATTTTGGCGCAGTCAGGTAAACAAAGGGAGGATACAGCACTAATGGCTGGAAAGGCCCGAAGCACGCGAGTCGTTCATCATCGCAGAAGCTCCCGCGGTTTGGATGACCGTTCCAGGACCGTGAACAATGAGAGCTGCGGAGATTTCGGGGAGGCCTAAACATACCGAGGCTTCATTTCGGCTGGACAGCGGTGGTCTTTACCCAGTGGTCTTTACGCGGTGGTCGTGAAAGGCTTCCTCATTTGTTAGAGCGAAAAAAAAATAAAGTTTCAACAGCCCATTCTTCATTCGGAAGTACTGGATGAAGTTCTCTCACTGTGTTTTCTCTGTATAAATGTAGTTATGAAGGCGTAAGCAGACAAAAGTTGACTGACGGGATTCAAGCTCATCACCATTCTTCATCTACTTCTTCCGGTGTTCAGCATTGCTTCAATTCCGAGTAGAGGAAAGATTTGTGTTGCTTATTCAATGAGCGTTTTTTTCCTTTAACTATTTTACTACTCATTTCCCTTCACCCTGTTTCTCCATGAAGACGCGTGGAGGACGACTTCACAGTAGCGTCGGAGGAAGAACTACAATGATTAGTTGCTTAAGTGATTCATAGCTGAGCTTAATTACAATATTTTTTTTTTGCTTTTACATACACGAATGCTCTTCCTTGCTGAAGATGTCCGAATAAAAACGTTATTTTCGAAACTCCAAGTGTTTCTGGTATTTGATTGATTGATATGGGGGGTTCAATGCCCCCAAAGCACCATATGTGTTTCTGGTACTTCATAGCCATAAGTAGAGTCCAAGTTGTGAGAAATAGATAGGACTGTACGAAGTTAGGGGGACTTGGCCGATTATATTTAGGATATATAGGACGGCGAATGTGATTACATCAAATTCAATTTCGTGCATTGATACATGCCGCTATTTTCAGGAGCTTCACTATGGTTGCACAACTAATACTTTCACTATTAACGTCAGTAAACGACAGTTCATTGTCTTGCATCTTGGTTCTAACACTTTTTTTCCCCTGCGCCTGTCATTACTATAAGTGGCTACCACCTTCCTAGGCCGGAATTCTCGTCTTTACTTGAATACTATCTTTACTTTTACTTAGATTCTACTATTTACTAGCTCTTCGGTTTAACTTGTACGCATTGATTGCGTAAGGGATTAATAGGCGTTGCCGAAGAAAGACCCAAACACAATCACAGAATGAAAAAAAAATAGAAGCGTACAGGAGCAGCTTCTGTATACAGCCAAGATTACTCACGAGCGTGGAGGAAGAATCCCTAGCAAAGATCGCCACATACAACTTGCACTCCATGGGGTGCCCACAGGCGGTATTGGCCTTCCGCACCCGGTACAGGGAAATGAACCACCCAGTAGCTTCTTCGCATAGTACAAATCACGCTACTCGCAGGCAATCAGTTGGCATTTGCGGAAGCAGTCGAGTTCGGAAGTCGCATCCCTTCGTGCCTTACTTTCGCTATACGCCCTTCGGTGACTCTTTCGGAAACACGTGACCTTTGCTGTGCAAATATTCATGTAATCCAATTCGCTCATAGTCATCTCTTTTATTTTGAGCGAAAGTGTTGCTGGAGCACGATTTGGTGCTTCAACATTGTGGGCCGTGCAGAGGGCAGACTGAATTCACCCGGTCGCGTAAGTTTACAATATAGAGCTTTCAGCATAAGCTCCCTGCGAGGAAACGATTCACGATCTGCTGATTGGGTTCAGTGTACCAATTGTGTCTTCTCATCCGAGGGCTCAGGCGCAATGAAGTCACGGCACGCCATGGTACAGGTACGTGTAGTTCTGGTAAGCAAAATGACGTGGGTGTCGTTTCCAGTGCATGTTGATGCATACATGCGAACTAAACGTAAAAACATAGCAGTGGCTTAGCTCAGATATACGAGGGCATACGTATACGTGACCTACGGATGAACGGATTGACGGATTCACGACTAGCGAGCGAGCTCAGGTGAGTGAAGCCCCAACCCACTAGTGACACATCCCTCCAGGAGCTTCCAGGCCTTCTCCAGCGCGCCAGTAGTGCGCATTGTGACGTCACAGCTCCTCAGGCATACATCGCATGACTGTTGATAAACTACGCGAAAGTGGTCATCCTCAGCCAGTGTAGTGCTACAAAACGCCCTTGCACTTAAACGCAGTTAAGGAACATCGAGAGGTGAAATGTATTCTGGAGTCACGGCGAGTCTCATATTAATATCGTGCCTTTGAGACGTAAAGACGCGAACATATAAAATTGTACACGCTGGCATAGCTCTTCTTTAAAAAAAAGCTTGCAATGGAAAGCTATGCTATTAAACAGATAGAGTGTAAATTGCCTCTCCCAATCATGTTCCGTGGCGTGGTGCTACAGTGGATATTTTTCTACCAACAGTGTTTGAGCCCCGACTCAATATATTGTGGCAAAACGCATCTCAGGAGGGCAGCTAAGTCAGCGCGACGTATTTTCATGGACAGTAGGACGTAAAGATGACTGTCTTTCATTGCAAATTCAATACATCACCAGATTCCCGTACACTGTAAGTTGATCTTAACTCGTATAATCAGTCGTGACCGTTACATGCTCAGTATACACTACTGGCTATACGTGTACCCAAAATGTAAGCGGGCTTTTCATATACCTCAATGTACCGCTGGTTAAATGTTGCTGAAGGTGTTTGAGTTTAAGCTGCTATGTTTCTAAAATCAAAGGCTCCTTGTAACGTGAAAATTAATTTTGTGCGAATATTCTTGCGGGTTAAATGGTAAATGTACCTGCATGTACTTATACGTAAGCCGGCTTAACATACCTCGATGTACCTAAATGCCAGCTGGATGAGCTTCTCCGTCAGCATTGTTCCTTTTAGCATGGTTCCCTTTAGCGGGAAGTGGTGCAATTTTTTTAGTGGTTGTGTTATAGAATAAATTCTACGATTTGTTTTGGGCGGCTTGTCTTCGCTATGCTCACTGTGTGCGCCGTTAGCCAGTGGCGCACAACTAATCAAAGCGGAAACAACGTTCGTGACGGCTTTACGGCACTGCGATTGAAACAGTATGGTGATACGAACCTCCAGTCAACTATGGTTCAGCGAACATCACTGCGTTGCCATGTTTTGTCTACGACAGAAACTTTTTATTCGCTGACTTAATGTGACGTCAGCTGTAGAGCTGAGGAGAAGGTGAGCGGGGAATCAAAATTGTGCTTTTGTAGCTATTAAATGAATCCGGAGGATGAACGGAGTCGATGTATATAGTATTGAATGGACGGCCAGGTTTCTGAATACACATGTAGTTGCAATATCTTCGAAAAACATTTCACGACCTCTTTAATTGATGCATATAAATTCGTTTCCCCCGGCTTTAGTCCGTGTGCCATTAGCGTAACAGTTTACTCTTGCACTTGCAATTGGAGTCAAGTTGCATCACCTTGAGTGGCCAGATTTGCGGCGACACGAAGCAGTTACATCAAGCAACTCTGCA